TATTTTTTTACTCCGACTCCACCCTTTCACTGAATTACAAGGTCTGACCAGGAGATGATGCTTCTCTTTAGATCTTAATGTCCACAAATCATGAGAGAAAAAATATTTTAGATGTTTGAAAAGGAACTGTAGCGGACCAGCCAAAGACCAGCCAAGGACTAAGAACCAGCAGATGGGGAGGTGAGAGGAAGGCAGGTCAGGAGATGTGATTAGTTCAGCACACTGATCTCCATTTATTGCCTGGATTGCTGATTGCCCGTTGGTAGTACGGAGTCGAAGTGACACCACCGGCCGCCATATTGGTACTCCCTAGTTAGACCAGTCGCAATCTAAACAATCCGTGCGCTACAGCATCGAACAAAGATGATGTTCTCATTTTCAGGGGGACTTACGACTTTTAAAATAAACAAAATCATCACTTTGACACAGACTGGCTGTTTCATAGCATCAGTAGATTACATTAACTTATAATTAAAAAAAAATAGGCCCATCACATTGCATAGTCATTATGAAGTAAATGAAGTCTATAAATCATGTAATATAACATATTATACAAAATCACAATAAAATTAATGGAGCAGAATAATGTAGATGTGCAAAATTGATTATGTACATGTAATATTAAGGGTTGATTACATCTTACATGTCTGATAATGCATGATATTGCTTAGCGCATATATATATATGGGTCAAAAGTTTGAGTTGCATTTTTTCCGTCAATATATTTCTGCACATGACTTTTTCAAATAAGTACAACAAACACTACAAAAACGACAGCCTCATCCGATTAATAAAGAATTACTACATTGACATTTCACAGTGAATTACTGTCTACTCATGAAATACTTTCAACCATGAAATAATGCCGACATTAGGATACCCACCTGTAGTTCTGATAGCATCCAGCAGGTGCCGCCATTCTAAACTGTATCAAATGTATGAAGCATGGTGTCGAGTTTTGACATGTTGTGTCACATTGGTTCCCTGCATTGAAACTGCCATCAATAGCCCTGCTAAACAACCCAGCCACTTTAAAGATCTGGAATAAACCACTTCTAATTCAGGGGTTAAAACATTTACATTTTGCCAAAGCGAAACCTCAAAGAAAACAAAAACAAAAAAAGAAATTCATTCAACTTTGACAAAAAAAAAAGCAAAAAAATTATCTTAACCCAAAAAAAAAAACCCAACCATAGAGTCCCTGTTCACTTTCCTCATGAGGTTGATTTAAAATACTACTTACTTGTCAGCACTGCTCACTGGAGCGTTTCCATGGCAACATAAGACCAGGTAACCTTAAAGAAAAAAGGAGCGACAAGAACAATGAAAAATTTATCTTACAGTTACATTAAAGGTGGATCTCAAAGTGAAAAACTTACACAAATATTCCGTTTTTGAAAGAGATTGTCAGGTTGAGGAGAGGTTTGAGGACCCAAATGCAGAGGCAGGGAGGCAGAGGTGAGTTCTTGTAGTTTTAATTGAATGTTCACATGTAACAAAGGCAGGAATCCAGGAATCCAACTTAAAACTGTAAAACAAACCAGAACCATGGAAACATCAGGTAAAATAAGCACAAGCAGCCAAGAAAAGACGAGGAACCAGCACTGAGGAACTGCACAGGGAGAGTATTTATGGCTGACTGAACAAAGGCGGGGCTAACGAGCTGATTGGGAGCAGGTGTGAACAGGACCAACTGGGAGGAAGCCAATGGGAAAGGGGGAAAAAAAACAAGCACAAGAAAGCAACAGAGGATAATTAAAGAACTCAGGTCTGGTAGAATAAACTACAAAGACACAGAACACAAATAAACTTAAAAATAAACCCAAGCAGAGGGCAGAATCCTGACAGAGATTGTTTAAAAACTGAGTATGTTTGAACCTGTTATTGAGGGGATTAAACTCTTACACACTTGATTTTATTTATTTGTATTTTTTTCATTAGAAATTAACATTTAATTATTTTTACTTAATCTAGAATTAAATATTTATCCCCTTTTAGCCTATTTCTAAAATCCATAAATGATGGAAGACTTGAAATAATTAAGGTGGATAAAAAATGCCTTATTAATTGTTTTTGTAGTAATTTCATTCTGGTGATTGATTAAAATACAACCAAGTTTTTGTTAAATTCGTTGAGGTGGACTTGTTTTATAAGCTCTGTCACACAAAGGATTGTGGGTAATTGTCCTACAGGTCCCTATGCTAACTTAGTGGCACTAGGTAGTGCTTCCTGGTCCTAGCTCCTTCCTAACTGCCAGCGCTATTCTAATAGCATTTTTATGGCGACCAAGGACAAACTGTCCTTCGCTATTAAAGGTATTCGGATCGTGAAGAGAAGTGACTCAATACAGAGGTAATCTGGGGGAAAAGACACATCAATCAAACAAAATGCAGAAAGAATGAGTAAGAAAGAAAAGAAAAACTTAATAAAAGTATTTGGGCTCATTGTCCCCATATGGCTGGCACTGCTCCTGCTCATTCAGGGTGTTTAGTTGGGTTCAGTTCAGGACTCGGCTCAGTTCTTACACACCAACCGCATGTATCCACGTATCTGTGGACCCAACAGTTAAAAGTGATTTAGGAGATCTTGGAAAAACATTTCCAGCAAGCTATATTTTTGAACATACACAACCATGCCTCTGCCTTCAGACCACCCCTGAAAACCACGCCTTGAAAACACATGAACGTGCAGGGGCGTGCATACATAGACACTAGGTGGTGCTAAAGCACTAGGAAGTTTGCCCTTTTTCAAAGAAAATGCCCTTTTGAAACTCGTTTTTT